AAAACACATACTACAGCATGTTGTCACTTTCAGAAAGAAAAAAGATCAAGAAATTGTTCTCCAATGACTGTTTGCGTACATTTGCTATGACACAGAACAGAAGAATGCCTTAATGAAAAAAAATTAAGAACCGTTTCAAAACGGAGGCTGTCATGAAATTACCCCTAACCAAACCATACTTACTAGAAAAGGAAGTTGCATCCATCTTCCCAACTTTTACAGGAGAGCCCATGTTTTTCATTTCTATACCCACTTCATTCCACACAGGCTCCAGTTTCTTGCAGTGGCCACACCAAGGCGCATAAAACTGAGAAGCAAATACATTTGATTTAAAAAAAAAAGTTAATGAAAAGGAATAATTAAGAGAAGTTGATTCTATGATTAACCCTAAAATACATTAGCAAGGCTTATTTTCCAGTTGTGGTGTTCTTCAAGTCTTAATAAAACTGCAAGTTAATTACAAAGCTGGAATGACAAACAGAGTTTTTATGATTTGGTGCTATTTTTAATATGAAAGCACAAGTTTGTAAAGAATACATTCAACTGCTGTACTATTGATTTCTTATTTAAAAATAGACTGTGTGGTAATATTTTTTTTTTTTTAAATCTCTTTTGGAATATTTTCCTCTTTTTTTGAAAGTTAAAAGATCATGTAATCAATCTGTCCAGGAATATGAATTTATTCACCAACAGGGGAACACTATTCTTTGAAAGGAAGGGATATATATATAGAGAGATATGTATGTATACTTCCCCAAGCTGCCCTCTGGATTTCAGTTCTTCAGCAACTACTTTTACACAAGCACACTGTAAAACTGATCCCGTTTTCTCAGGACCAAGCAGAGCTGAGAGACTTCATTTCATTTTTCTGCCTATGTCTTGCTGCAACACCTCAGTGAAATTAATAGGGAAGATATCAATGTTTTGGTATAACAACATCAGGTCACAAATTGACAAAGTTGGATTTTGTTTTCTTATACATTACTGATCAATTCTGAATCAGCATATATAGTTCTCCCCACTCAAAAACCACAAATCTGAATTTTACAATTTGGGAATTACGGTTCATATTTGGGTGAGCTAAGAAAAATTGTATCTCATTCCCAAACAAGCTCAATCTTTTTAATAATTCCTTGCCTCTGAAATAAGGAGCACTGAATCTTTCCAAATGTGTTAGAAAAGTAAAAGAAGCCTCTCATATATCTGATGTTGTAGCGCTAAATGTCTAGAACACAAATTAGCTGGTATAACTAGAGGATGGAACTGTAAAAACTCTGAACAGAGGTTATTACCTCCTGACTGTAAGCGTTAGGTGATCTGCTTTCCTTTTTTAAGGACTGTAAAATATAGGATGAAGCCTGTCTGCATCCAGTACTCAGTCTAATTCCTGGTTCATCCTGAACAATACAGATTGCCTATCCATCCTGTCAGAAGAATTACTGTCACGTAATTTTTCTGCACCATGTACAAACGATTTTCCAAACGATGAAGCCGCCTTACTACAGAGTGTAGCATTGTACATTTTGTGTTTTGATTTCCACTAGCAGGTCTTCCCATTTTTCTCATATACTCACATCTACAAGCCAAATATCATCTTTACGGTTTTCTTTAAACCTAGGAGGGGAAAAAAATGAAATCAATATATGATATATCTGAAAATAAATAAGTGAAGTGCATGTGTGAAACAGGCAAAGTCTACAAGTAAGTTGGTATAAAACTATAGATACAAGAATTCTGTTTTGTTTCTTTCTTTGGGGGTGGGGGAAAGGAGGAAATAGTTATTTTTCAGTATTAAGATTGCCCCTGCACATGATACTACATACACAGTTGTACCAATTAGGTTTCTATAACTATTTGCTAAGACAAAAAAAACCACAGAAAAACAGTAAGAAATCAGAAAACACACCAAAACATACAAAAAATATTTGATTAGGATATGTAATCTAAGGGGAAGAAGTATTTTGCAGCTGTTCTAGTTATATTAAATACTATTGTTGACTGCTTAGAAACTGTTGCATTTTTATAGATCTTAGAACATTGGTTTACACTGTTAATCTTAGCTTTACTGAATGTAGACTAACTAAATTATCTTTAATGTTAACATGCAAAGCAATTTTAGTTCAACCTCCTTCAACATTCTACTATAGGTGTGTCAGTTTATGTTTTTATCAAAGGTGCATACAAGAAACCAACTTATTGGAATAAAAATGTTCAAGTTATTGATAAAAACCAGAGATACACAGGTACTACTGAATACTCTTAATGCTAGACAAATGACATCTTAATGAACTGACTAGCTTTATTAACTGTTAATCTGTCACTAAATGCTAAAACTTCTAAACCAAAAATAGAACATGATAAATCAAAGTTCCTTGATACCTCTTGAAGTGTTGCTTACACACTTCACTGAACTGTTGTCACTACAAGATCATAGAAATTATCGCATTACTTAACTATTTCTATGTTGAGAATTAAATAAGACAGAATTTTAACGTAAGGTTTATTTTTGTCAAAGATGAGCTTCGTAAAAGTGACTAGAACTGGGAGTAATGTCACATGCTATAAAATACACTATACAACATTCTTACTGTAACACTGTTGTGGTTTAACCCAGCAGGCAGCTAAACACCACACAGCCATTCGCTCACTCCCCGCCCCGCCCCAGTCGGATGGGGGAGAGAATTGGGAAAAAAAAGAACGAAATTAATAGGTTGAGATAAAGACAGCTTAATAGGACAGAAAAGGAAGGAATAATAATAATAATAATAATAATGATAAAAGAATATACAAAATAAGTGATGCACAATGCAATTGCTCACCATCTGCCAACCGATGCCCAGACAGGTCCCGAGCAGCGGTCACCCCTCCCCCAGCCAACTTCCCCCAGTTCATATACTGAGCATGACGTCACATGGTATGGAATATCCCTTTGGACAGTTTGGGTCAGCTGTCCTGGCTGTGCCCCCTCCCAGTTTCCCACTAGCAGGGCACGAGAAGCTGAAAAGTCCTTGACTAGTGTAAGCACTACCTAGCAACAACTAAAACATTGGTGTGTTATCAACATTGTTTTCACCCTAAATCCAAAACACAGCACTGTACCAGCTACTAGGAAGGAAATTAACTCTATCCCAGCCGAAACCAGGGCAAACGCTCTTATCGTGAAAGGAGATTAAAATATATATATATATATAAAATTACACAATAAGTGTGTGATCTACACTCTAAGATAACATCCAATTAATAGAAGTTATAGCGCGACTCATCCATTCCCAATATGCAGCATGCCTATAAACGGCTCATAGGCAGTAAGCAGAATCAGAGAACATTTATTATATTTTATTTAAAATTAAATACATTTGTAATGGTCCATAATGGTCTTGAAGAACTACTAATGTTGATGCCGGCCTACTGTTTGAAAGAAATTATTCAGAAATCATTAATATAATCTAATTACAGCACTGAGCATTTGAAACTTAGAATTGCAGCATTTCACTGGTAAATACAAGCCTTTTTTGTTTTATTGATGGCATACCAACGTTGCAATGCTTGTACAGCAGAAAAGGGATTTGCAGGGGACTAACATAAAAATGTTGCTTTCCTGCAGGAGTTTTATGTTGCTTTCCTGTAGCAGTTTTAAGTCACAAAATTGCTTAGTCGACCACCTCACTAAAAATTTACTTCACCACCCTAAGTGCTACAGAGCTAATGAAAGAAGTAGAGTCTAGCATCTCTTGAGAACTCTAATGAAGCTCCAACTAACTTCCGATTACAAGTGATGCAAGAGGCTGAAAGCAGCTACTGAATCATCAGATCCTGGGCCGTGCTTCAATTTAGAGTGTAACCTTTGGTTTGTAAAAGAAGAAATTACAATGAAATGTTCTCCTCCCCCTGCCACAGTATGACTGTTACGGGAGATTGCAAAGAGCATTAAAGCACTGAGAAAGGTAGACTGAAATCTTACAAAACCAGTAGACAGCAAGGAAAAGATGGAAAGAAAGGAAACATCTGGAGGCAGAACATTCCAATGGAATTTAATAACTTTGGCCTAAGATATTATAAAAAATACTGTAGTTTTTACAATAATAAATTTCAAGTTGTACCATTCATTTGCAAGCACCTATTTAATCAACTTCCACAGAAACTAAAATCTGAAGTGTGACAAAAACCAACTATCTAAACTCATTCTAGTTTTGGTAATGTCAATGATTAAATTATTAGACAATAATAAGAAAGTTCAACATACTGTTGAAGAAAAACTGAAATCTCTATACAAATGTGTATTTAAGCATCTTCTGAAGGTGCTGTTTCTACGCCCTGTAAATACATTTCCGAGCATAAAATTTCAGTGTCTCTATTTAACTGTCCTATGCAATCCTCTCTCTGTCAGCTGACATAGGCACAATCATACTGGTGGAAAGATGACATAGGTGTTGCATATCTTGGAATCAAAATTATTTGCCTCAAATACATACAACTTCCCAACATTCGGCACTACATTATCAAATGTTGCCTCAACCTCCACTTAATCCATGCACTCCACTTAATCATTAATGGTTAAAAGAAACCAGCATGAAGCAAAACTGAAGACCAAGGTCACAATTCCAAGGGCCTTAAACCAACCCAGCCGCTGTTTCTATTCCTCCCCGTCTCCCTTTTCATCCCCCTTGCACCATTTCTGATGGTTCTGATCCTGGGTTGAGCCACCAATGCATCCTCACAGACAGAAAAATATTTCCTTTTTTAGTCAGGTTACTCATTTGCTTCATTATCACACTGGAACAAGTCAGCAAATATCGCAAGATGAGTACTGATCTGAGGCAGCCAGCAGTTCGATCAGCATAAGCTGATAGGAACCATAGCTCTTATTTTCCATCCCTTCCACAGCCCAGTTGAGTGATGCTGGGTATCTTGCACCTCTGTTAGTTCTCCTCTGCTACTTGTTTTCCTATACCCTGTAAGCTTGGGAAAGGGAACTGCACCTTGTGCTAGTAGGCATTGTTTGCAACTACCCAAATTCAAATAAACCCCAAAGTTTTCAGCAACAGTAAAAACTCCATAATGTTTAGGTATCTATAAAATGGAAAACTTGAAACTTTCACCAGTCACTGCTCGCAATTTATTATTTTTTTAAATTGTTTTCCTGACCTTTTTCACCGTTTGCCAACTAGCTAAAAAGAAAAAAAAAAACAACAAAACCAACCTATCCTGAACAACTCACCATTTAATTCTTATTCCCAATTGCAAATACAGGCATCTGCATAGTTTTGTAGTTGAAAAATCCAAGTGTTCTAAAATAGGATTTTCTTTTATCAGCTATTTCAAAAAAGATATGCGACTACAGAATTACGCTTCTTCACTCCAAAACAGCAATACATTTAAATTTACACCTGTGGAAACATGATATGGGAACATGATGTGGGAGCACAGATACACGATATTTTATTCACTTAGACTCTTTATCTTCAGTCCTTGAAAATATGAGGCATGTTTCAAAAACAAGCTTTGAAAATCAAGTCCAAGCAGTTCCTGTGCTTCAGTTGCTTTTTCACAACACTTTAAACACGTCAGAGATGCTGATGTATCTCTCTTCAGTACCCCTTCCATACGTACCCATTCCCTCCCCCATAATTCCGCTGCACCTCATTTGATCCTATGATTATCTGCTCTTGCTGAATAAGGAATACAGTAAAAAAGTGAATGGTTTTCTGACTGTTTAGCTATATGATGCAATTTATCACGGATTGAACCCTCGTGCAAACATCACCTTTGGCTGGCTTAAATTTATGATAAAGCGGGCATCTAATGCCACCTTCTCCTCCCCTAGCAGCTAGTATTTTCTATACCTTCTATTTCAATTCTAATAATCGTGCTGCTTTGTAGCACTTTAGATGAACCTGCTGATCTGACAAAAAAAAATTAATTTCATTTTTGGGAAGCTAGTTTTTATTGGGAACATCAAGTATGTAGCCATCAAACTGCTAAAGCAAGGCAGTACACGAATAATGACACCACACAACCAAGCTAAGGGCAGGACTACCCATTTCAACACCTCCACAGTCTGGGGGTTAAATCTGTTGTAAAAGCACGTTTTCACACTGGAATATAACTGGCACTTCAAGCAGCCATGAACTAATCCTAAAGGCCGCCTCCTCTCTTCCATTTCTGGCCATGCATGAATGCACTTATACTCATTCTCCCAGCTCCTTGTGGCAGCTATGCAGCAAATTCTAATGAAGAATTTGGTTAATCACATTCAGCTTTTATTTGGGGCAGGCATCAATCCATCAATATATTTACTCTACCAAAAAGAAAGAAAGAGCAAGGAAGCCTGAGAATGTTTTTGGCAACAGCACTCGTAATAACTTTAAACAAATAGCAAAATTAAAGTGTTCCTCAGCTTCATTAATTGCACCTACTTAATACAGGCCACAATCTTTCTGCCATTCCTTCTAAGAAAAAGACAAACTTTTCCAGTGTAGCTTTCTTGACAACGACACTCCGCACAAAGCTGTCGGTGTGGGGTCACCCCCCCCCGCAAAAAAAACAAACAATAATTAAGTAATAAGGCAAGACACCCCAGTACTTACGACTCATCTAGATCCTCCACAAAACCCGCACCTGATGCCACCACATGTGCAACCACTGCGAGGTAAGGAAAAGAGTACCGTGAGTGATCTCCCAACCAAACCGGGGGTGCTCGCCCACGCCAGCTGACAGGCTCACCGCCAGCGCGCCCTTCCCCTTCTCCCCTCACGCCTCCAACGCTATCCCACAGCCCCAGCCCTCCCCGCACCTCCCTCCCGGCCGCCGCAGGGCTGCCCGCTGCTCCCCTCGGCCTTTCTCCCGCCTCCGAAGCCGCCCGCTT